TTAACACTTGCTCTGCTGGCTCGACTCGGGAACTTGCACTTTTTTTCCCCCGTTGTTGTTATTCGAGGAGCGTTCATGGAAAATTCATGCCCGAGAGTTAACTAATCGACCGTGTCGCTCCTTCGCCGTACATTTCCACTGCGCTCAAAGTTCCGCGATAGTAATGGGTGGGCCGGGTATTAATGTGGTCGTATTCTGGTGGTGATGAAAGTTTAAAGCAGCCGCGGCGAGGCTTCGTCCACTGGTGCCGGGTACAGCGCGTTTCGGCGTTCGTATACGTTCTCCGTGTTAGTGTGGATTGTGGCGTGGACGGGCAATGTGCGCGGGAGGAAAAAGGGGGTGAATAAGTAAGTTTTTTTTTTTCCGTGTATTTTTAGCGACACTCGATACTCGCATGGAAAGAAATGCAAAGACCCGCGCTCGAGATTCGTTAATGTACCCAATGATGGAACAGCAGGAGGAAAGACGAATTGGGTGAACGACCGTATGATTAACATTGACTTTTGTGGCGACTATATTTTCACTGCGAAAAGTACGAGAGGTTGCGGGGGGGGGGGAGGCTAAACCTTGTCGATGGAAATTGATGGTGGAATTTCACCGCTTCGGTGCTACATTTATTATTTAAATCCCAAGCGATGGGGCTCTCTTTCGTGGTAAATTAAATGGAATATTTGCCAAAGAGCACGTGCATGGATGGTCCAATTCGAACGAGAGGGGGTTTACCCGGGGATATATATATATATATATATATACCCCTTCGAGCTCTGCTGATTGAATAATTCACGGTGGAAGCGATAGTTTTTACTTTTCTTTTATTCAAAAGGAGGAAAGTAGCGTAAAAAATAACCTACCGAATGATATCATTGAGACATGTACACCTGATGGGGGGGAAAAAAGGCGCGCCGATTGGCTGTTCGTGACGCGCGAGGGCCACGTTAATTCGATAATCGCCGATGTCTCATCGATTCCCGGGCGAGTTGGAAAAAAATCACAATTCCATGGAACTCCGTGTTGTGTTGTGTTCTTCTCTTTTCTCTTGTACTCTGCAGTTCTCTTGGCACCGAGACGACGGACGGACGAACACGCTCGGGCACTGTGATCAACGTGATTGCTGGTACCATCCGAACCTGCGCTGGGATCAAATTAGAGGCTAACGAAGACTCTCTCGTGCTGACTGCCCCTTTTTTTCGAAAATAGACTGGTCGGCAAAAAGACATCTGTTGTGAAATTTATCACTCGGTATCCTGTATACTTGCGCAAAAGGTTTACTTATTTTCACACCGGCATTAGGAAGGGGAGACACTCGACTCGGAAAAAGTGTACACACACGACTAAATTTTTCACTAGTTTTTTTTTTTTTTTTTTTTTTTTTTTTTTTTTTTCCAGTATATTCATACACCACAGTATTTTTATCACTTGACTTGTAAAGTTGTGAATGTTAACAATTTATCTGCAACCAAACGTTGGTTGAAAACGTTTTCATTTGATGAAGAGCCATTAATATATATAGTTACTACAAAAGAGAGTCGAATAACAAATTTTTTCTTCGTATATTCACACAGAGGATTTTTCAAAGTATATCCACCCCTTTGAAAACGCGGGTACGCACGTTTCACCGTGAATTTTTTACAAAATGCAAATTTGCTCACCCGCTCGTCTTAAAACCATCTTCCGCCCCGTAAATTCTTCATCCTCGCGTGAGCTGGATTTCATTTTTTTTTTTTTTTTCTACCTCCCGGGAACACGGAAAGGGAAATTTGATCACGTACTGGCGCAATGTCTGTCCAATAAAAGTCTGAACTTTTACTTAAAAAAAACACGCACTTTGACATAAAATATATATATATACACGCCAAACGCGAGCATCCGAAGAACGACGTGAATATGAAAAGTACACGGCGACGCTGGTAAAATATTCGCTTCATAAGTTAAAATTAATTCCAACGCAAACAAATCACATAGGGACGATCGATTGGTCCATCGATCAGGACGACGAAGCAGGTATATTACATGTACGCAAGGGGTGTACAATTCATTAGCCCACCACGATGTCCGGGGCGTCTCGTTATTAATTGTATATATACGCGTGTATGCGCCGAAGAGACCACGAGACGTCTACGGCAATTACAGTCCAATGGGTGGAGACCCGAGCGTGCACGAGGCAGCTGCACACGTTCGGTACACACACACACACAACCACCGACGTCCGTTTCGATTGAGATGTTGATGCCTTGGCTCCGGGACACTGAGTGATTTTAGGGGTTGGTAGACACGGGGTCTTGGATAAATAACGTTATACGCTAGCGTCGGTCTACTCTATATACATAATGTCTTGCGTTGATTTAACTGTGTGATGTGAATTGCTCGAAAAGATTTTATTACGAACGACTAGGAGCTTTTTTTTTTTTTTTTTTTTTTTTTGTAAGCACAGCTAACATTTGATTTACAGCTCAGACGAGACTGGAAATTTGACATTGCTGGCTAAAGAAACGGGCCAAACTTTAGACGTCCGTGTAAATGATGGAGACATCGCGAAATGAGCGATAATTTTGGTTCGTTTAAAAATGACATTGGTAGTTTGGAGGTAGGAAAAATCAATTTAATGACTAAAGTAACCTCATGGGGAGTGAGTGCAGTAGAGGCTGTTTCTCGACAATCCTTTTTTTTTTTTTGCTGTGGAGGACCACGTGTCCTCTAGTATCACCGAGTGAGAGAAAAGGGGGACTTTTGATTGGAGTAAATATTATTTTTCCTCCTTTCAACCCGTAAAAAATCCTCGCGGTGCTCCATCATTCCGGCGCAAATTATCCCATCGCAGGTAGCAATTTGCGAGAAACCATCGAGGCCCCCCGATCCCGCCCACCTCGTTCAAAAAGTCGTTAGGCCGAAAGGCACGAGAGCTCTCGCGCGTCCTCGCCGTAGTCGCGCCGCAAAATGAACGAAGGTGAATTTAGTAAGCGTGTTTGCGCGTATCTCGGCCAGATCTCTCCGGCGAATTTCAATAGTTCCCTCTCGCTGGCTTGCTTATTATTACCATCATCATTATTGTTGTATAGGCCTGTGGGCAGCACAACAGGCGTTCGTCGCTCGGTCCTGATAACATCGGCGTATAAAGATATCGACTTGGCTGCTCACCAGGCCGCGAGCTTACTTTCTTCGCTCGAGTCCTCCGTTGGAGGTGCAGGGGGACAATTTTTTTTTTTTTTTTTTTCATTTTAATTCACATAATAAAGTACTCGGGTACCGTACATTATGCGGAATGGCTACTTTATTCGGAAGAGGTTTTCCTTTTTACGGTCGCACAGGCTGGAATATTGTAACTTTTTTTCGAATACGCGAGACGGGAATATACCCTCGAGCGGGAGGAGGGGACGAGATAGGATTTTTGTTTTATCTTGATTCGAATTACGAATGACAAATTTTAAGAATTAAAAAAGATTATTCATTTATTGAATGGATGAAAATCAGTGTGGATGAAATACAGGAAACACTCGATGAAAAATCGGTATAAACAAAGGGGTGACATCACCGCATATTTGTCTTAATCATAAACCTTCCTTTTTATCGTACAACAGAGTGATCATACAATAATTACATGGTTTTAAATTTGATCAAACTTGGGACTCTAAAAGAACAGTGTATTGTTAAATTTATCTCAGCCCACAAACTTGAAGATCAAGCCACGATTCCCGGGTTGAAACAATTCAATTAAAGGAAACTTAGTCACGAGCAATAAAGAGGTACGGGAGCAACTCGAGTCGAGGAAATAGTGCGTACGTCATAAGTTTACTTGCGTATCACCTACACGAAAACTCGAGCGTATGCCCACGTATATAATATATTATCGATTAAATCCATATACACATCGTATCGTTATTTATTCGATCCCAAAGTCTCGAGTGCCAACCTGTTAGTCTATCCCAATTAAGTAGTCTTTTGCGGAAGTTGAGCGAGTCGAAGTTTTAGCGACACTCTCGGGCGCAATTTCCCATTGACGTTATACACACATGTGCAAACTACAAACTCCACATGGAGGGTACGTATACGGGACTGGAGTGAATATCGCTTCGTCACTGCTCGGCTAATTGTACTAGTTGATGTGACTTTCAACGTACGTGTACCTAAAGTACCGGTCCAGCACCTCATTGTCCCGAACGAACATTGTTCCACTGGCGCTTTCGGAAGCTTCAATTAATTCATAACACTTATCAATGCAGAAGACTCTTCTTCGAAGTTTGATAACAACGAAATCACGAAGAAAAAAAGCTTGTGGAGATCTCTGGAGATCAAAGCGCTGGATAAAAGAAAAATACTTGATGCACCGATTCGAGCCCTCGCTTCCATCATTCGTTCCCTCGTACACAGTCGCACGCGTGTGTCATCTCGTGTATTTTCCATTTTCCACCGGAAACTCGTTCCTGTTCTGCTCGATTGACCCCGTGAACAAACAACTTTGCTCCCGTTTGGTTTGTACTACGGTAAAAACGAGAGTCGTTTACTTTTCATCTCTTGGCCAATTTTGACGGTCCCCCGCCCGTGTTTCTCTTACGTTCTTTATTGCTGCTGCTGGCGATGAGGCTCGAGTGGGTGAAATTAGTTCCGACAGGCCCGCGTGTACCAACACGCGCAAAAAAAAAACCCCCCGTACAACAGGTGTGTGTTCACACACGACTCTGGACCAGAATCGATTTTTATCCACTCAAGTGAATTGTACGCATTTTTTACATCATCCTAAAGCAAAGTGTTTTTTTTTTTTTTATACGAAAGAAAGATGTATTTGGAAATTTGCGTTGGATAAGCAGCCTTGCTTGGAAATAATATTTTTTGGTGATATAAAAACAAAAAAACAATACTTAATTTTACAGTTATGAAAAAAGGTCACGATGTCATGGAACATTTATTTGGATCATTCGGAGTATTGTTCTACATAAAAAAAAGCACGAAAAAAAAAAAAATCCAACAAAAGTACATCAACAATAATAATGCTCTTTTTGTTTCAGTTTGACTTTCCGTTCACTCCAAGGTTTTCCCGCCCACTTTGGTTGTTAAGAGGACGTCAACTACAAATGGTGAGTATTTTATTGTTGGTTTTGATTTTTTTCAAAAAACTCCTCCATTATTTGTATACTTAAAACAATTACACCTTTCAAACCTGCACCCCCCCCCCCCCGACAACCCCAAAATACACTTTTGCTTGACGTATTGCTCGATTTGCATTACCCCCACGCATATTATAGTTATATAAGTACGTAACACGAGCTAGGCAGTCTTGCAGGATCGCGTTGCTCGCGAAAACGGGTGACTTTCCTTGTATACTCCTCTTAATACCAGACGACCCCTTCCTCCCGCATTTCTGCCCCATGAAAGCCCTCGTTATACCTTGTATACCCGTATACTTGCATGCGGATATATATACACACCCAATGCAGCTGTTTCAGACGTTGAGTAAGTGACTCATCGTCCGTTGTAAGGGTACACGCAGGTAAGGCGCGCGCGAGCGTTATTGTGTCACGCTAATAGCGGCCCTTTGCATTATATAGAAGAGACGTACGTGCTCGTTATACGTGTACCGTACGTAGCTGGTGGAGCAAACGTCCAAAAGTCCGGTCGATTGAGCTGTAACGTGGGGGAGCTAGGGCATGTACTTTATTTGACGGGTCCGACGTGACTCTTGATTGAACTGTCCGTCTTGTATGTGAGATGTAATGGGCGTATCATATAATATCTCTATATAGAGAAGCTTTCATTGCTACAGATATACCTACGTATCTTATTTGTTTTTGTTTTTATTGATTGTAGATTGGCGCGCTTTGATCTTGGGCGTCGATCCGTCAGTTGACCCAAATAACGTACGAGGCGTTTGAATTTTTTTCCAAAGTTGTTTTCCCCATACTATATAGATAGGGAACGGGTCTCGGACGTCAAATAAGATTTATTTCACCAAGAAGAAGCCAGTCGCACACCTATGCCGTTGAAACTTTTCTCCCAATGCGGGACAATAAACCGACCAAGGACACAGGGATACAAAACAACTTTTTTTTCGAGACGATGTTACAAGAGAGCCGAAGGTTTTCCGCTCCGCAGGAACTGCTCACGCGCGTGTGACACGCTTCCCTCGTGCACACAAGCTCCGGCCCGTGCATACTTGACGTGAAATACCAAGGCAGGGAATTACAATATCCATACACACGCGCGTCTAGAATATGCAGCCAAAATCTCACAGCTGGAGGAGCTCGCGTGTGCATCCACGTCGGTCTGCCACGAGAGCAGAGGATGGACGGGAGAAATCAGTGCTCTCTCGACTTTAGCTCGCACCTCTTTCGCTTCGAAGGCCTGTCGATCTCACGAACGTGTACGAATAGGCCACGAAATTCAAGCCTTTCCATCGACTGACGAACACGGTATCGACGTACCGGTTGCACACGGTAATTTGCTGACTTTTTTTTTTCCACCCCCCGTACACTTGTAGATAAAAAAATAAAAATGTTTAATTTCCATACCTCGAAATAAAACCCTTTGAACTTGCGTTCCCCTCGGGGGGTGTGCGTTGCCACCGCCGCAGAACTCGATTAAACTTTGTTAATTGAAAAGAAACGCCGGAAGTGGGTAAGTGCAGTGCACGCACCGACAGAGGTTGAACTTGATTGTTTTGAAAATCAGCACTGGACGCCCACCCTCGTCCTGCTCTGGTGGTGGTAGTAATGATGGACCGGGCGCATCCGTACGGAAGACGATTTTTCGCCGAAACTTTTCCTTTGACCCGCAGGGCGCTCGAAGAAACTCCGGGTAAACGCGAAAACTTGACTTGCGTCTTCGTTTATCTTTCAGACCGCGAGTAATTTGCCCGGCTAATGGAAAATTCGCCAAGGATGACCTTCCCTTCGTCCCCGTACTCTGGTAACTGATGGGCGTAAACTCAAAGTGCAGTAGGGGTGTGCGATTGTACAAAGTTTGATCGGTTTTTACGAGAAAATTCGAGAAAAATTGCGAATTAAGTCGGTGAAAAGTGATTTACATACGCGTCGAGGTTCTACAGCCCTGAGTCATAAGCCAACCGAAGATTTCAGTTATTGAAACTCGTTTTCAACTCCTGTGGCGAAGCAAAAGAGCCGATATGGAAATCTTTGTTTGAAAAACACCTCGTCAACAGTATAGGATCATATAGAGATCTATCAACCGTCTATTGGCCATTTCCAATTTCGTGCCATTTTAGTAAAGCTACACCTTACAAAAGAAAAGAATTGGATCTTCAGTGTTTGCTCGAAATCAAAATCAATCGTTTGTGGTACATTTACCTTCGGTCGAGGCGGAAGAAGACATTACCACTGGCATTCGCGGGGATGAGCAAAGACCCCGATTTGTTCCGCTTCCGCGGGTCCGCATCGTACATCTCTGCGAACCCAAGTGCGAAAAGTGCGCGCCATGTGACACAATGTATTATAAAATCGAAAAATTTGGATGGCTTATCTTCTTCCTCTTCCTTTCAACTCCTGGTTCGTATGCAGGTGATACAGAAATCGAAGCCGATTTATATAAAGCCACATACGCAACAATTGTCGGCCCCATGCCGATGTGTATGGATTTGGGCTTATCTCGCGGCCCCACCGGCTAGCCTCTTATCGAACGACCAGTCACGTAGCCGAAATACCAGGTCACTCGCGCGCACATTGTACGACCGGGCGCCGGTGGTTTCCAAGGGGGAGCTCACAGCCTCGGAAAACGGGGCCAGGGAAGCGGATTAAGAGGCGAGGTGCACCGCAAGCGTGGAGCCCGCCGTGAATGCTCGGATCTTATCGAAAAGGGTCCTCTCGCCTTCGAGGCTTCTTTCACCCTTTGGCGTTGCTGGCCTCTGCTGCTGCTTGTGTTGCCGAGGAAACCGAATGGACAAAGAGGAGTGGACCCTCGGTTCGATACCCTTCCACAATGTTGCATCGAGCGGTTTTTGATCGATTTCGCGCGATGGTACGCAACAACTCATTTGGCAGCGTTTGTTTTGTTTGGTTACACTATCAACGATTGAATAGGGCAACTTTTTTTTTTTTTTTTTTAATCAGAATAATTTACGGAAGCCAAATGACTGCAGCAGAATGCCATATCGATCGGTAAATCGGGTCATTGATAAATATTTGGAAAATGCATGTTACTATGATTATTAATAACTTGTAGTGAAATCCAGCTGAAATTCTCATTGAATAAAGAAGCGTAAAACCAGCAATGATGACGAATAAAATTATATGTACTTACTTATACACCAGACGCGGAAGTAGGTCGGTGTGTCTTTTTTTTCAAGAATTCATCGAGACTGACGTTAATACATCGAGTCGAAAGACAATCTTGATTCGTATATTTTTGAAAGACCCGCGCATAAATCATGATTTCGCAGGACAAAAATTCGATCGCGCGCGAGCATGAAGAACGAGGGATGCATGCATGTATAAATTAGCTCGCGGGTATGATGTTACATAAAGATTACTCCCCCGTTCTATATTTACCAAGTGTGCAAGAGTCTCTCGATTATATTTGCGGCGATGAAATAAATGAAGAAAAAAAAAGGAAAGATTGTGTTCTCGATATTCCGAGCAGTCTCTTCAATCATTCCAATCCAAGATGTATACTTATTTACGAGGAAGATGTGGCATATTATTCTTCAATAGGGTTGCACGTGACGAGGCATCGCGAGATGATGTTATTACTTCGAGTGACAAATGTATATCACCAAACACCACGATCCAAGTGAAAAACCGCGCGGTCGGCTTTTCTCCATTTGAGCCCGTCCGCACAGCCAATTATATGTACGCACAGTCGCCGAGAGAGACAAAAGTCATCATGGCGCTCTCTTTGCTCCTCTTTAAATCTCTTCCAGTGGACGACAAATGTACACACCCGCGCACACTCACCAGAGCTCAGAGAGCAGCTCGCGCATACAGCCCGAGTCGTGGAAAAACGCGCTTGTATACCTGCACCCTCATGACCCATGCGCGAAAGCGAAACGGCACACCACACCCCCGGCGTTGCGGGATGAACTCCTGTGACCATTAGGTACTTACTTACCAACCCCACTCGTGTCTTGCCCTATATGCATACACCTATATTATTTTGCACCTTTCCTCGCTCTCTTCACCTACATACCTTTCCTGCCATTTCGCCCGATGTGACACATTAGCAATGCACACGCGTACCTGCGGCCAGATGTATAAATTTAGGTCGTGGTTTTTCTCTAGCGAATTTTTTCTCTATTTTAGCAATTTTTTTTTTTTTTTTTTTATCATTGATGATCGGTTTGATATAAATTATAGCGGTACATGAGTATCGTGCTCATCAACGTTTAAGTATATAGTTGGGTGTAAGAAAAAGAGGAAACAATATTCTTTGGTCGGGATTAGCTAGTAGCATTGTGCGTCGTAGCATTATACCACATATGGTAATACGTATATCACGTGGACCTTTTGTCGGTGTATTATAAAGAATATATAGGTACGAAGCTTACGTGTCTTATAAATTAGTTGCAGGGGTATAGGGTGGACTGCAGCCCATGTGGCTGTCGTACGAGGCTCTGCGAACTTAATTCGCATTTGTTCCTCCGAAAAGAGCTTTGTGATCTGCACGGCTCTCCCACCCCGATTGCGTTATTCAAATTTCTACTTATGTGTGTGCTTGTATCAACGGCACTGAGAATTTATGAATAAAAAAAATCGGTTCAAGACCAACTATTTAACATATAATGTAAAAAATTTGCATTAAAATTACAAGGTTTTTGATATTCCCTTGGGTACCAACCTCTATGTGTGTATACTGTTTTAAAGCAACATTCAAGTATTTAGTATACAGAGTTGGTCAAATCAGTGACGAGCCCGGGGTTGCTAAAAGTTTAATTAGTTTGTTATCGATTCACACCCATACAAATAATATGTTTAATGATGCACTCGAAATGCAATTAGTATAGACATTAGAAATTTAATCGATCGTGGTGTAACTAAATTACAAATACAACTGATTGCTTACAGTAAAACTCGATAAAGTTTCGATCTGCTTATTAACACCACTTTGATTCGTTTTACAAAAGAATTTT